TTCGTCAGGCCGGGGACACAAAACACACACACACGCTGATGGCATGACCGTCTTGTTTTCGAACGGAGAACCCGAGCGTACGACGATCCGATCTCCGGCGATCTTCGATCGGATCTGAGAGACCTGCCAACCATCCCCCCCCCATTCTAACACTTTGTGATACGCAGTCTGTATCGAGGTTGAAAACGCCATTCGAACGAAAGAAATTATTTTTTCTTTATGTATAGCAATTTTTAGCATAGCGAATTATTTTCTTTTTTTATGTTTAGCAATCAGAATAACAATCATTCTATGAGCTAATATGGCGACTTAAGGGCTGTAATGAAATTGAGGCTGCAGTACGAACTCAGCTCCATTTTATTGAACTGCGAATAAATGCTGATATAAAGACATCTATTAAAGTTAAAGAATTCTGTTATTTTTTCAGTCGTACAGTTTTCCTCTTATGAACGAACATGATGAGTTTTAACGTTTGCATTTGATTTTATTCTCCTAGCCGATTCAGCAGTTTATTTCTAACTAAAAAAAGTCAAACATGGGTGTATTGAACGTTTCAGATAACAAATATCATTTTTTAAATTTTTTATATAATAAAATAATGTAGAATTATTTATAGCTCACTTACACCGTCCATGTCCGTTGCTTTTGGATTCACGACTTTTCTACTGATATTGTCTTCTAAAGTACCTGCGTTCAATCGTAGATGTCTGAAAATGTCGATGGATTAAAATTTCAAAATTGGTCCCACAGCTCGATACCATTGGCGTAACGCAAAGTGTTTAATTACCGTTTCATCCTCCGGCGTGTTGCGAGACAGAAAGCGGTGAGAATTGTTGCGGCTTGTCTTAAATCTGAACGATCAACGACTGGCAGAAATGGTGCGTGTGCCTTTTCACTGTAGCGCGACTATGTTCTTTTGTTTCAAAGTTTAATAAATTTGATCAGTATAGTATGGCAATTGCTCACTTTACACGATCTCGAACGGTGACGTTTATGATTTTCTATTTTTGGGGAGATAACGTTCATTGGTATTCTTCCACGCAGAGTCTAGAATTCGTTTGTACGTGAATGATTTCTTTATCTCTTTTGTTTCAACAACCCTTGATATCCGTCCTTCGAATCTTCCTCTTCATGGCAGAAAACCCGAAAAAATTGAACGTGGTTAAATTAGAACTTAATTCTACTGTTCGTCATTTTCATAAATGGATTTCTAATTAATTACTTTATTCGGACGATTCTTAAATTGCTCTTTTAATTATTAACTTAAACGGTAAATCTAAACAAATTAAAAATATAATTCGGTTTTTTCACAGGTTTTTATAAGCAGACATCAAGAAAATAATGTTCTCTGAAACAGAGTACACAAGAAATTTTTAACTGATTCGAAATCTTTCAAAAGAGTAAAAACTGATGAAAAGTGTCGTGAGAAAGATTGAAAAGTCGATGAAACCCTGTCGAAGGATTGCTACCTAACACGTAAAGTGAGAGATTGCTATAACTAGTTTCAAAATTTGTTCAACTGTTAACGTGACATAGAAAGTTGACGAAACTAATATAATTTTGACAATTTAGTGCAGTATTTTGGAAAGATATCAGTATCGAATTGGCATAGCAATACCCCACCTAGAATATATTAAGCTATCTAGATTGAAAAATTAAATTTAATTACTTTTTTTATTCCATGATCCTTCTTAACCTCCTTTGCAAAATTTTAATAACGTAAACGTCAGTTGAGAGATCAATCAACCATTATATAAACCCTCTCATTAATAATCCCACGTCAAAAAGTACTCAAAAATCAATCACAAAATTTACTGTATATCAAAATTCACATTATGAACCAGCTGCACTACAAAATCTACTCCCTCACCGATCCAAATACTTTTTTACGCAGTTTAAGATAAGCAAGAGAGCGAAACGGAGCATTTAACGGGACAGTACACGATCCTTTCGTCGTTTCGAATAAAAGAAATTCGAATTCCCAATTCAATCGATGATACTGTTACGAAGAAACCACTGTTATACAACTTTCGATGACAAAAGGGTACACGGAAATCGGATTGGTCGTTGCTCGAATCACTAGTTCAAGGCTCCAAGGGACCTCGAACGATCCCGGAGACGTTTCGTGATATTCCGAGCGACGTGATATAACGATCAACGATCAAAATTAGCTATTTTTATTTTTCCTTTCGAGAGACGTCGTTTGTCGCGGCCGCATGTTTCACTTCGCAAGTTAAGTCCGTTTTTTGTACGCGATCCACGATTCTACAGTGGACTACGGTTAGTTAGTTGCGTAGGGGTTCGAAATATTGTTGCCGATCAATCGTTTAGACGCTTAGCGTACGAGAACCGATCGACGCGTTGTTCTTAGGGGTGCCGTTCCTCGACATTCTCCGCGGACGATCACGATTTCTAGGTCCGTTGTCTAACGATCCGTCTCTCGAGACACACGGGGAACCGATCCATCCGCGAGCTTCCCGTTCAGTTGCGATCCGATCGATCCAGTTGCACTGTCATTGATCGGGCAGAAAATGTTTTATAGTTGAATAAATTGGATCCAAAGGATTATTCGTAAAAATTGACAGTTTTTTTTGGACTTGAAATAAAACATAAAAAACATTCGAAATAACAATACTTCCTTAGAGTTTCAATTAGAATTATTGAGAATTTGACTCTCCTATTCGTGATGATGAATATTATCGGAGATACGAATGATAAATTGAAATTGAATTGGACTGAAAAACGGTAATTATTCAACTATATATCGTTCTCTCTGCGCGTGCCCGAGCATCCGTTCTCGAGATCGTCGGTCGGCCGAATTATAACGATAAGTTCGAGTTTTCTTAGTGAGCGCACCGCGAGCCAGGCCGATACTTTACAGTTAAGGTGTCCCCACGATCGTTTTTTTAGCGCTGCTTTGCAGACCGCGTAGCGTGACCCCGTAGTCGATAGAACGTTAAAAAAAAAAAAAAACGTTTTTAGGTAAGTTTCACGGTAAAGTATCGTCCGCGTCTCGAGCGAAATAAAAACCTTCTTCTCTTCTCTTAATTGTAATTTAGCGCAAGCGTCCCTGAAGCGGCACCAAAAATAGTCCAGATCGAAGGACTGTTCTCCCGAACGCGGTGTCGAGCGAAAACGTTTTTTAATTCTAATTATCGAGATATCGTCGAATAGTAAATATTTCTAATCGCTCGTTACCGTTGACAGCCTTGGGGACACGTGACGCTTCAGGGATACGGATTTATGATCATCACTTCGTATCCCTCGAAGGAGTCGAGCGACGTATCGAAACGATAGGGAAAGTAAACAGAAGGATAGACGGGAGATTAGCGAGGCGAAATATATTTTCTGATGAGCTGGCGCGTCGATGTGCTTTCAGACTTTCGAAACGCGAGACAAACGGAGCGAAATTACTGGCAGAGGGAGGAAGCAAGATTGATAGAGAACGGGGTTGTGTTCAGATCGTATAGGGGCAGGATATAGGGGAAATTTTTGAGGGGGGTGGGGGAAGACGATTGGGAGGGCTCGACGAGAGCGATGGCGAATCCGTCACGGTGCGCCGACTGACACGTTTTCGGACGGTTTAAATATACTTATAGCGAAATTAAGAAATGCATATTATTCTGCCGATTAACGAGTAAGTGCGTAGAATTCGTTTAACTGTAGAGAAAAAGAAAATGAAGAAAACACGTACACAGTCACGTACGCGCGAGTGCAAGACACATTACCACCACCCGCCCCCTGTAATCGTTCACCCACGGACCACCCCACACCCATGTGTACACTGCGTACCGTACACGTACACGTGACACAGTTACACGACAAACATATACACACACGCATACGTACATGGGAAATAGGAGACACAGTGACGTACCAGTTTGACACGGTGATAACCGGAGGCACGGTTACGAGATACAAATAATATGAGAAAATAACAAAATACGAGTGGAGGAGAGAAAGTAACGATGGGTGAGGAAAAGAAAAGAATCGAGGAATATTAGACGGAAAAAGAAAAAACAATGCAAAACAGATACACACACACACACACACCATACAAAAGGCGCAACACGTACACGCGCACGCACGTTGCAATTAGACGTTATTATCGCAATTTGGAGTTAAAATTTATAATATATATTATATAAAAATATATATATAATAAATAAAAGTTGACGGATAACATAGAGTTATATTAAATATCGAGTTAAAGAAAAGATGAAGAAAGAAGCAATAATAAAAGAGTGGGAGCGTGTATTTCCTTGGGGTGGCGCGATCCAGCGCTGTGCACTCAACCTCGTCCTCGATCATCTGGTTTCCTTGATCGTCTTGGTCCTTTTACTATTGTTTTTATATTCGTGTTTTATAATGGTCAGGTTTTGATTAAATTGTCGCTCGAAGTTCATGTTAATTGTGATAAATTTCATTACAAATTCGTAAATACATGTTGGTTTTTCCGAAGTTTCAAACCTACCATTTATTCTAAATCGAATCAAAAACTGAATTTATTGTAGATTTTTAATATTTTCACTATCTCTTGAAAGTAATTGAGATAGAAATAACTCGAAAATAAAAGAATTAAGAACTGAAATACCATTGTTATTTATAGTTACTAATAGATACATTCAAGAAACGTGTGAACATAACACATTAGTTTATTACAAGATGCGACTTAGATTATTAATTTCAAGCTTGTTTCAAATGTATTAAATCAGTGGCAGTGTAAATTACAAAGTTCAGGATATCAAAGGTACGTTATATTTTTTTACTTTCTTGTTTTATTACTTACATTTCCGATTACTCTTTGAGACGGAGTTATAGTTTTCTTCTTATTTCTAGTATGAAATTTAGTAAAATAAAATTAACGTTATTGTAACATATTTAGCAAATTATAAAATTATATGTTTTATATACTTGCTTCATTGTTATTACAAAACTTCATTTGATATCTTTTAACTAGTCGTTAGACGTTACCGAAGAGGGCGTTTTCACGCGCGTATTGTGAGTGCTGGTAGTGTCGCCTGCTAACAATGAGTTCATCTGTCAATCGTCGTACAAAGTAAGCAAATCTTCAAATTACGCTACAATTATTAACTAATCAATCATTTATTATTGATGTCATAACTAAAAAATTAGTAACATATTCATAAATGTATTTAAAATAAGAAAACTCAGCTTCTTCAAGTTATTGCATCGTTTTTTTGGAGGTTAAGTGTAACGTCTACAACTATTGTTACATGTAATAGAGACAATATACGTTTTCTTTCTTCACACAGTCTGAAGATATCAGCGGGAGCCTTAGTATGCGACGAAAGTATTTTGAAAGGGGATATTACTATTGGTCCCAAGACCGTAGTACATCCGAAAGCAAGTATCATTGCAGAAGCTGGGCCCATTATAATAGGTGAAGGAAATATTATTGAGGAAATGGCAACAATAGCAAACAGGTAATATAAGGATTATTACAATAAAACTCAGTAGTTTTCTTCTGTTCTTATTACAATGAAATATTTCTTATATTGTAGATTACCTCCAGATGCACCTGAACCATCTACAGTTCCAGTGCAAATAGTTGGTAGTTTTAATGTATTTGAAACAGACTGCACTTGTGAAGCATACAAAGTAGGAGATAACAATATTTTGGAAAGCAAAGGTTGTACAACATAATATACAAGAAATATATTTATTTTACATTTGTCTTATTATAATGAGCTTCTCATCTGCAGCATTTGTTGGCCGTGAAGTTGAGTTGACCAGTGGTTGTGTTATTGGAGCAGCTTGTTCATTAACTGAACCAGAGGCAATACCTGAAAATACTGTAGTGTATGGCAGTGATTGTCAACGTAGAGAAATGCACGATAAACCATACGTAAGTATTTGCTAACGTCATGCTTGTGTTGATGGTAGTATTGTAATTGAACTGGTAAAATTTGTACCTTCCATATTTCAGCCTCAGGTAGGTCAATTAGAGTTTTTATTGAAAATACTACCTAATTATCACCACCTTAGAAAGCCTAATGTAAAACCAATAAAAAGTGAAGGAGGAGCATAAAGCTATTACTGCACTACTGAATAATTCAGTACTGTGCTTGTAATATGTCGACTTAAGATCACCAAAAAAATGTTAATATCTCATTAAGTTAATAGCTGATACAATTTTTATTATTATTATATAATTTCGAAAAATATTTCTCAAGTATTGTATTGATATTCCTATATTTGAGTTCTACACTATGGACGTATTATTTAATAAACTTTTAAAACTTTTCGTATTCACTATGTAATACCAGTACCTTCAAATAGTTTAAACTTAATCCTATAGTAATTTAGTGTTCCAAAAATCACGAAAGAACATCCTTTATACATGCTTGAAGAAGTACCATATAACTTTTATCATTCAAGGAATAAAATATGGTACAACGTCACTATTCGTTTTGACTTCCGCAGTACTATTTTACTATTTTATTACTTTACAAATCAATGAAGGTTACTACATATTTCATTGAACAATCTAGGAATGACATCGTTATTTGATTCCCTACATTGCGTATAGATGGCAGGAGCATCTCGTATATCGAAATCATTCATTTTTTAACTTTCATAGATAATGTTTATTTGTTTTTCAGTTCAAAGTACTTTAACTTGACAGCTGAAGTATTTTTCAAATAAACAGTTGAAAGTTTCGTACCAACACTTAATAATCGAATCTAACATCCGATGATATGCAACCCTCTATACTTTCCTTTGCGTGAATATGCGTAAACCTTTTTTTCTTTCTCAATCCCTTTGTAAGCATATAGTTAAATACACAGTACAAACTACTAGATATTATATTTCAAAAACGAATTGCATATCCCTAGGGACAATTCTAGTTCATACATCTCAGCAGTAGATGGCCATAGCGTTTATTTGTTCCACTACGCCAATACAAGAAACTATATTATACAATGTATTTAAAATTATAACAATTTAAATATCATTAACATAGAATATTCTTAATTGAATTTCGTTAATGTACTAATACATCTTATACATGAATTTCATTTATTTTTTCCAATATATAACATTTAAATAAGCCACCCCGAATAATTGCTACAGAAATGTTCAATCACACCTGTAAAGAAAACAGGTCAATTCCGAAGTATTAATGTTTTCTTCGATTGGTTTGAATAAAATAGAGACTCCTGTTTCGGTCGGTCCGATCTCTCTAGAACGCCCTGTACATCCCCGAAGGCCGAAACGTCGGGGGGAAACGACGCCGCGATCGGCAAATCTGTGTGCGTGGTCGGTACGACAAGATAATGTAACTTGATGTTTCTCCTTCTCTACGTTCTTCGCCGAGCAAACTCTCCAGAGAATCCAGCGGCACAATGCTAAACGCTACACCTATGAATATGAATTAGCGTCTCGTCGAGGGGGTTGGATGCGAACCATTTACCGTTTCCGTCAGCTTAACCGCGTACCGCAGTGACTCTCAGCCACTTAAACGGTAAATGTACGAACCGTGTCGCCACTTAATCTATAATAATTCACTTATCGTCGATATATTAACCATCACCATCGTAACACCGACAAAAAAAGAATACCAGTTGAAAGAAAGAAAAACGATTTGCACAATATCAAACAGGGGGATAATATAAAAAGAACCCATATATCGATTACACTTGACAATATTTAGAGGAATATTTATTTGCAGTTTTTAAAGTGGGTGTTTTTTTATTTAGGATTGTTGTATTGCAGAAATATTGTTTACAGACGAATGAGTTTTGTAAAGAGCCACGGAGCGAATATCACAGTCGAAACCGTGGTGGGTCTCGAGCGCCGCTTTATTTTAATGATCGCTCGTCGCAACCCCCTTCAACGTAACTCTTGTCGCGGAAAGTGGTGACCCGAGAGAGCTGTCATATTTTGACGTCCGCAACGGGCGTTCTGGTCTAGAACGGGGAGGGGAGACCGAGAAGAAAGGAGATTATTTTTCGTCGGGCTGGGAGGAAGCTGAAATCGGCACGGGAGAGCCACGGGAGGACGGGGAACTCCCTAATGGCTCGCGGATACGCGAGAGTTTTTCCCCGGACCCCGTTACGAGCCAAGCTCTCTTCGTCATCCACTGATTTTTGGGGAGCGATCGCGTGTCGAATTTAACTCGCTAAAACGGCCAGACCGTTTCGTCGTGCCTTCTGTTATCCTACCAATCTATTTCGTAATCATTAAATGAAACTGTTCTGCTTTTCAGATGTAATGAATCATAAAGGTTCGTATATTTATTAGATACATTAATAGGCAGTCTACTATTGCTTAAGAAATTCTATTTTTGTTCCCACATACTTTATATTCCTATGCTATCTTACCAATATTCAATATTGGTTTCCAACTCCCTCCACTATATTGACGGTTATGAGACCATAGCGAATTACTTATTGGTATATTTATGTAACATACAGAGTCAAACTGTAAAATTAGGATGTCGAATAATTTCTTTATTTCCAGAACTATTTCAATTTGACTCGATATGGTTGAAGTTTTCGCGAGTGATAGAAGATACTTTTAATAATTACATTACGTAGAATTTTTACAATTGTCTTTATAGCGTAATGAAGATTAGATTTCATGAAATTAGAATAGAAAGCAGTGAAGAGCATTTTTGATCATGTATGTAGACTGTAATACAGACTGATCAAAACAATTAGAGAATCATATACTGTACCTGCTGTGCTCATTAATAACTTTTGTAAAGTTGTTTTATGGAAACGAACCTAGGTGTTAGTATCGTATAAAGAGGTTTTAATTCACCAAACAGTAACGATCCTCTAATTATTTTGATCATTGTAGGATTATAACATTAAAGTCTAAATATGGGATCAAGATATTATCGAATTTACAATTTAAGAAACCTGATTGTGTTCTACATTTAGAAGAAAATTGTTCCTATATCGAATGTTATTGAAGAATATTCAGTACTTCCTAACATCGTTAATACTGTATATGTACAGTGTTTGTCTGCGGTTACTGAATAAAGATACTATGCTTAATGCTCTGTCAACGCACGAAGTTACGTCTGCTGTTTTATGAATATGCATGTCACATGAAAAGCGTAACGAATCTTGTTCAATTGTACGTAGCTATGAACCGTGTACTCCCCCCGAAGTACTGTTCACGTGACATACAGCATTCTGAGAAATTTCAGTTACTCCTCTGGTTTAGATCGTAAAACTTATAGAATCCTCTTAAGAAAAGTTGATTTTCATTATTTTTTCTTCTGTAGTCTAAAACGTAACGAGCACTATTTTTGCACTTCAATAATTATTATTTAACTTATGAATTCTTAACCCTTTTCAAGGATCACGTAAATTTGTCGTTTCTTCCCTTTCGGCTTACGGTATATAACGTCACATAATTTTTTATAATCTATAATACTAGCCGTTGCCCGCGGTTATGTGCGCGTTAGCTTCTAAAATTATTTTTCTACCTTTTGGAATTGATTTTAAGAAACTATCATATGCAATTTTTGTTTTAACATCTCCAGCTTTAGTGGATTTAAAGATACGGTTATCCTGTGAGAAAACAACTTACCCCCTTTTCATCCTTGTAAGGGTAGAATTTCAAAAAACGCTCAAACACCTGTTTGTTTATTTTTAATGTGAAATTTATATGCCGAACGTAACGTCTTCAAGTTTAGGGATTTGTGGGATTCCTTTAAACAAATTTTCACCCCATTTTTAACAAAATTCAGAACAAAAATTATTCCTTATCTATAAATTTCATGTTTCTAAGTACAGTGGTTTGGGCTGGGCGTTGATGAATGAGTCACCTAAGCCTTTTATAATATATTGCCATGCTCTTCATCTCCCCAATCACTATTTAAGATAAAATATATATCCTCTATATATTAGAGGAATGTTCGAGGAACACATTGGTGACGGTTTCATCAAAATCGATTCAAGTAGTTTCCGAGATTACCTCGAACAAACATACAAACTAACAAACATTTCGTCTTTATAATATCAGTGTAGATTAACGAATAAAATTTTAAGATATTCTTCACAGCTGCATTTAATTTAACAGTGCATTCAAGTGGCCTCACAGGTATCCCTACAATCCAGGGACTTCGGCCTCTAGGAACAGCAGCAGGGGTTAATATTCCGATTTTTCATCTTCAGCAGAATATCCGTAACGCATTAAAACTTGCCAGACGATGGGTAAAAACAAAGTCCACGCCGAGAACTGATACGCCCGGGGTGATTTAGCACCAATCAAGACCGGCGGAGCGTGGATCGTGCTAATCAGCCAGGAATCAATATTTCGCCAGCAATTAAGGAAACCTCGGGCAGACTGTGCCTAGAATCGGATTCAATTCGTATGACAGATCCCGCCGACGTACATGACATTTTTCGCCCTTCCCGTCTTCGCTCGGCTCGCGATTACAATGGAAATGTTAAGCGAGTCGTGCATTCGCAACGCTCGTCACTCTGGTTCGCCGCTCGACAACCGAGCTCCCGTCAATTTGAGCCGCGCAGCCGGGGAACCAAGGGCGAGAGAAGTGTCATACACAAGCGACGCGACGCGTCGATGATCGTCGTTGATGGACGAGCGATGATCGGGAAAGTATTCCGCCGGGGCTGTCCATCGACGCAGCGGTGATCAACGGGCGATCATTCCGCGGGACTTTCGACGGGACGCTAATTCAGTTCGTTCGAGACTCGACTTAATTTGATCACGGTTATTGCTATTCCCACGATTTCTGTGGAGTTTCCGCGACCCAGCGGATTATCCAGGTGCTTATCACTGGGAACGATGAAAGCAAATGGAGATTGACGATGGAAGATTTGTTTAAGGGGAGGAACAACAGGGTATAATTTTGAAAAAATCCATATTTTCTGAAGGATATACATTTCAAAAATATTGTACGAATATTTCAAAAAGAAATTCGTTTGAAAATGCATTGTGCACGCATGCAATTACGGCTAAGATATGGTTCATCGAGCAACTATACATAATTTTTTTAATTATTGATAAATCATTATTATGAACACTAGGGTTAAACAAATCAAATAAAATATTTTCTTATAATTTAAAAACATAAATATACTTCATAAAAGTTTTCAGTATATTGTGCAGCATTTATGCTTTCTGTATTCAGAAAG